AAAAAAAAAAAAAAAAAAAAAAAATTAAGTGAATGTCTGTTCCTTAACTGAAGATTTGGGTGTGCAGCGGTCTCTCTACTTATGTCAGTACTTTAAGAGACTCAAATAATTTTTTATGTTTTTATTAGGCTTTCCATGTATGTAGAGAGCTGAAACATCAATTCTGTGTATACATGCATAGAAATATATCAAGATACTTAATTGGAAAGTGTCCCTCCTACCTTTGCCTCTACGCACCTAGTTCCCATCTTTCCACTCCTACCTGTCTGGCTTCTTGCACAGCCCCTTACAGTGGGGATGGCGAACCTTTTAGTGCTTTCAATGACAATAAATAGCTGGCTGCAGCATGTGTGCTACAGGTTCATCACACTGTCCTAAAGTGTCTTTATTGGGGTTTTTCTCCATATATTAGAAGAATATTTTCCCCAACTTGTAGTTGTTTTGAAAATGTTTATGAGGGAGTGTTATTTGAAGAGTAGAGTGTAAACATTATATATAAGATAAAATTACAGAAGAACAGAACACTATGAATAGAAAAAAGAAAATCTAGTGGAAATCCAATCAAAATGTTAAATGGTAGTTGTTTCTGCCTGTGAAGATTCTTTTTTTCCCTTTAGACCATAATATTCAGAAACATTACTAGTAGCCACATGTTGCTTTTAAAATGTAGAAGTTTATATAAGTCCCCCAAATCAGCAATGATATATAGATATAGATATAGATATAGATAGATAGATAGATAGATATAGATATAGATATAATTCCACTGCCTGTTAAATTTTTGTTTTATAGATTTTCAACCCTATTTTAATTCTTTTTTATCTTTAAACATCATCCAAGGTAGGGGAAGATTACTAGTTACTAACTACCTAAATTATTTTTATGATGTAATCAAGAATATTGAACATTTAGAGCTGAGAAGATAGCTCAGTAGTAGAATACTTGCCCAGCTTAGTGAGACCTTGAGTTTGACCCCCCCCCAGTACTGCAAAGAATATTGAACCTTTAAATCTTGTAATTCCTTCAACATGAATTAATGTTTGCTAAATCAGCTAAACACAGTTTCAGCTGAGTGGTAAATAATATTTCTTCACACGATTGATTGAAAGTGTGATTGCCGGGCCAGGGAGATAGCTCAGCGGTCTAAAGTGCCTGCTTAGGCAAGCTTAGGCAAGTGTGCAGGGACTGCAGTTCAATCGCTGCACCAGTCCCACCCCCAGGGTGGGCTGAGCTGGCCATAAAAATAAATTAAATTAAATTAAAAACTCACACAAAATGATTGCCTTTTGAATAGATGTGGTAATTTGCTAAATCTAAGAATTGTCTGTCAAAGTTAAAATGTACCTACATATAAGGGTGCTGATTCTCAAGTGCATTTCCCTTCTTCAAACCACATATTTGGGGGGAACCTAGTGGCTGAACCACTCTATGGTTGAAAGACTGCACATGGGCAACAGAGAATTATAGATGGTGAGCATTCACCACCAGAATTCTCCTCCTCCTTCTTCTTCCTCCTTTTTCTTCTTCTTCATCCTGTTCCTCTCCTCTTTCTCTTCCTCCTCCTTGTTCCCTTCACCTACCGCAACATTTGATATTAAAAACTTCAAATCTACATAAAATCGAAGGGATGGAAACGTGCACATCCGGGAACTTTTACCTACATTCACACATTATTTGTGTTTGAGCACAAGCACTTTCTGCCTTTCTGAACTCTTGGAAAATAATTTGTAGGCAGAATAATAGTTTACCACTAAGTATTGCAGTCCACAAAACTGCAGTTTTAACAATCCAGTCTGATTAGGATTCCTTACTTGTGGGCAGCTGACCTCTCACCCAACTGCCAGCACTTCTACCCTAGAAGGAAATGGGCAAGGACTCCAAGCCGAGCCCTAAAATTTACCTGTCAAGTGTCCAAGACAGCTGAGTAACTTCTCAAGGTGTCAGCTATCTGAGTAGAGCTGTCTCTTACCTAACTTACAGAGGAGGTATACAGGTCAGTTTTCATCCATTCAAGCAGCAGGGATTTAGCAAGACCACCCTCAGCCCAAGCTGGTGCCTGATTGGATGGCCAGCTATGAGGCCCTAGACAAGTCAGAAGTGAACTGGGTATTAACGTTCAGCTCCTGCATTGCTGAGTGGGTGATAACTGTACCCTCTTCAGCACTTATGAGGCTCAGTGAGTACTGCTGATTATTAGTAAGAAAATCGGGAAGGCAGCCCAGCTTCTAGGAGAGGAGTGGGCTTGGGCTTCTGGGGTCAAATACTGGTTCTCTATGTACTGTTTTTGTTGTGGCTTTTAGCACAGCACTCCTGTCTGTGGGCCTAACCAAAATTATTTTTAATGATAAGTAGATAATGCAAAATAAAATGCAATTCCCATTCTTATAACCAAAGACTCAAAGACAGATTGAAAGAAAGTCAAGAAAGTGCAGAAAACATTCAGTAGGTTATCAGTAAAGGGGCAGGAGTAGCCAGAACAAGAGGGGCAATGTGGAGGGAGGGCAGGAGAAAGAATTAAAGAAATGACATCATCATTCATTTATTCATTTGTTTTTTTTTTTTCTTTCTCTATTCTCTAGGGAGAAGGCACAGTTTAAACCTTTACAGTGAGCAGCTCTAAATCTACAACCTGTGGGAAGACATCCGGATTAGCCTCAGTTTCCCTGCTTCAATCGTTAATTCCCATCTGGTCCCCACCGGCAAAGCTTAGGGAGGGCAGAGTGCTCCCCTCTCCCTACAACCAGCTTTGCCCAAGTTAGAATCTTCTTATTTTCAAATAAAAAGCAGATTACATTTTTGATTTATAAGTTTCTTAAATTAGCTGCTTTGTAGAATTGAAGAACAGATTCGAAGTCAATTTTCCACTATGTTTTTTTCCCCTAAAAGTGTTAAAATTATGAAGTCCCATGTCCTACCATCCTGCTTCTTTGTATATAAAGATGTTTATATCTTTGGAAGCTTTTCTTAAGTCAAAGGAGGAAAATGCATTGAAAATAAGAAACTAATATTTTCCCGATTTGTAGAAAAAAAATTAATGTATCATAAATGATTTTTATGTAAAGCTTTTTAGCTAATATGAGTTACTACTCCTGAGTAGCCTTGTGCTAGTATTCCCTCATGTACATTAAATTAAATTTTAAATTCAGTGGTAATATAGTAAAGATTGAGTGTCTCTGAAGGAAACCAAGGAGCAGAAGATCGAAGGATCTTTGCAGTCTTTTTACAAATGCTTTGTTTGATCAAACAAGAATGTTTTTCAAAAGCTAATTTGGGTAACACTTTTGCTGCCTATTTTCCAGGATTTAGATAATAAGTAATATTACTTCTATGTTTTATGTGTCTGAAATCGAAATGAAGTCAAACCCACTGTATTGATTTGGATTCTGAACTGACTCCAGCTCAAGGGTCCTGGGAAAATAATTTTCCCAGTCTTAGTCCCTCAGATTTAGGGAGCTGTTACAAGACAATCATCCCGAGAATCTTCAAGTCACCCAAGAATGAAACAGAATTGCAGTACCGTGAACTTGACCTAATGAACAGTGAGGAGGGTCTTGGAGGGATTTGCATGTCACGCTGGCAGGCTGCAATAAAGCATTAACAATCACCTACTGTGTGCTTGGCTCAATGGTGTAGGCACTGGAGACAAAAGGAGTGTGCGCTGTGAGTTTATTCTCATTGTAATACTAAGATATGAACTCTGTGGTAAGAGGTCCCTCCCAGGACCTGAAATTTAACAAGCAGAAGGAAGACAGCCAAGTAAACAGGCCTTTAAGATCTTGGTGGCAAAAGGTACACACACACACACACACACACACACACACACACACACACACGGTGGTGTCAGCTCTCCAAAAGCTTCTTTCTTGAGGAGGCTGGCTGTGTGTTCATTGAGAGTCTGACCAGCTTCACTGTGCTTTGGGTTACAGTGTAGTCCGAGGCAGGGACAGAACCCAATTCAACTCTAACTCAGCTCTGTTCCCCAGTGCCAGCGCATCACAGCCAATCATCTGTTCTGTGATCAGGGGCCCCGAATCCCCCCTGTCTGAGGTAGCATCCCTGGCTCTGAAATAAGTCATAAGACTTCAAAGATGAGCAGAAAATACAAATGGAAAGTTCATGTTTCTATGACAAATTAAAGATGCGGCTGGAGCAGTCCCAGCGTGTTGGCCATGAGTCAACGTGCTAAAATGATGTTTGCTGCAGCATTCTGACTCTGAATGCCAATCGCAGCCCTCTTTAATGTAGGTCCTTCTTGGGATTTCCCTCTGTCTTAGAAATCTGATGGGCCTGTGAGCACAGGGCCTGTTGGTTGCTTGAATGGAGGAAGAGAAGAAAAAGTAAAATCTAAAGTATTATTTGAAAGTATTCTTTAGCTATGTATACATAATGGGCTGATGGACCTGAGCTATTTGCAGTGACAAAGGGAAAGGTAAGAAACACATTTATAGCTTAGTGGATTAAAGCGCCTGCAAGCAGGAGCACAGGTCAGGGTTTGATCCCTGAGGTGCGTAGACTGGACATGGTGGCACGCCGTGCCTGTAATCCCAGCTCCTGGGAGGCTATAAACAGGCAGATCACTATTAGTCCGATCTAATAGTGAGACCGTGAACACCCCGTAGACCCTTCCCTGAAATGCAAAAATAAATAAATAAAATAAAGACATTTATGTTTAACCCAAATATATCAGGCATGCACACAGAGTTACAGGCCAGATGTAGTTAAGTAAGCAGAGGCCATGTGGCTCTTCCTCCCACTGCTTGAACCCAGTGTCTGCCTCGGCACGGAGGGTGACCCACGACAGGCATCACCTTCAGCCTACAACATCTAGGTGGTAGCAGCTGAGTGAAAACTCTGGCTGGTTTTCACAAAACAAAGCAAAATCAAGTTTGTCTTGGAGCCATGGAATAACTGTCTTGGCACACAAGCCCTGAGACACAGGAGGGTTCAAGACTGGACATCTGCGGAGGCTAACCGTCTGCAAGGTGGGGTAGGACAGTACACCAGGAAAGTGGGCCGGCAGGGAGGGAGTGAGAAAGGGAAAACAAAAGGAGAAAAGAAAAAGAGTAGGCAGGTCTAGACCCAGGAGCCACAGAGGACCACCGACACAGGTGCCAGGGAGGGATTGTTGCTCCTCTGCAAAGTTACTCTGTCTTGTGTTAGGAGCATTCCTGGGCTGACCTTGACTGTTACCCAGCATACTGGTCAGAGCTCAGCCGGCCAGCAAACCAGTGGTTTATACACACACTTGCTTGGGTCTTGGCTTCAGTTGGTTTGCTGTTGGAACTCGTCAAGCAGGCTCGGTAAAGTTGTCCTCTTTGTGTCTCACGCTGGAGACTGGAATCATGGGCAGGCAGGCAGCCAGGCGATCACACTTGGGTGAGAGAAAAGCAAGACCAAGTTGAGCCTGCAAGCATGGGCTGGAGCCATGGCGATGGCCTAAAACTCTCAGTTCTTGGTGCCTCTGACCTCGATGATGTGGGTGTCCTGCAGAGGTCAAGCCCGGTGTCCTGTAGCTGCAGATGCACTGCCTGGCACCCTGCTGAGGGTGCACCTGGGGAAGGTGACAGTGGCTGTGGTCCTGTGTCCCCCAAGGAGAGTATGCTCAGAGACACTGCCACATCCCTTGCTCCGCAGAGAGCAGAAGAACATTCTGCACTGCCCCTAAGGAGGTGGGATGGACAGATCTGCAATTCAGAGAAGCAAAACTGACATTCCCAACCCACCACACCAACGGTGCAGAGGAGGGGCTTGGGATTTCTTGCACGTGGGCATATTTTGTTCCTTAAGCTAGATCAGGGTTTTCAACCTCTATACCATTGTCAGCCCTGTCCCACCCTTGCATCACGCCCTGCATGTGTTGGAGTGGCTGCCCACCGTCTGTCAGATTCTCCGCCTTCCTTCCCCTTGGATGAGAACTCCTCAGGCTGCAGAATGGCCTCAGCAGTGCTCACTTCTTTTATGAATTGGAGTGTTACTGTTGTTTTGCAGATATGAATAAATCGTTCTACTCAAAACAAGAAAAGGCTACCTTCAAGCATTTGGGATCAAGCAGTTAACAAAAATAATGCCAAACCTTAGTGAGGGATATACACAGAAAATTTTGCTCCATCTGCAAAACTGACCAAGGGCTCACAATCTCTGCCTCCTGGTTGTTATGGTTTAGACCTGGAATGTCCCCTAAATCCTAGTGTGTTCTCAGGTGAGACACTGGAGGTGACCAGAGCATGGGGCACTGAGCTCAGCAGTGGATTCCTCCCTTGGGGAGGATGTGTTGGTAGGAGGTGGGCTCCTTTTAGAAGAGTTAGGTCACCAGGTGAGAGCTGAAAGGCTCTATGTCCCTTGCTGGCTCTTCCCTTCCCTCTGCTTCCTGGCTGCCGTGGGCGGGGCAGCTGTGCCCTGCTCTCAGCTCCCATGATGCCCTTCCTGCATTGGCCTCTGCCCACCAGACAACCATGGACTGTGGGTGTCAGGTATTTTTGTCCCAGCATCAAGGAGAGTGGCCAAGTCACTAGTCTTGACCTAACTTTAGTCAGGCTTCCCTGTTCCCTCAGCCCTGAACTCTGCTTACCAGCAAACCTGAGCAAGCAGCGGCCACCTTCTTACCTGCTAATCAGAACAGCAGGGTGACCACGGGGAAACAAACACCTTCTTGTCAGGCCCAATCTCACTGACCATCACTCTTGCTTTTCCGACTTCCCATTCCTACCAGGGTCTGCATACTTCTCACTCTACAAGAAAAGCCAGTCAGGAAAGGTACACCCGTAATCCCAGTGCTGTGGGAGGCTGGAGCAGGAAGACTGTAAATTCAAGCCCAGCCTGGGCATCTTAGTGACACAGGTAGTTCTTACCTCGAAAAAGTCTTTTTCTGTTTTTTTTTTTTTGACATAAATAACTTTTATGAGAAATGCAGGTTATGAAGGGTGGGTAATTAGGGCATCAGCCTTTAGCCACTGTGCCACACACAGCATTGATTCTAAAAGTGTGCACAACAGCTGCTTCGTAACGTTAATGTGAAGTCTTTGTATAGAAGTCAAGATAACGACAGTATGCTGCCTTTTAAGATGTTATAATTTATAGTGATCATTAGTTCATTGATATCTAAGTTAGTCAATTATTTTATCAATTAGAATATAATCAAAGTCGGAATTTTTCTACACTCGTTCAGAACACTTGTGGTAAGGTGCCACCCAGCACCCTCTCCCACTGCCTGCTAACTCCTAGGCTCTTCACTTCCTGTCCAGTCCTACAGAGTGGCCTTATCTCTCCCTGTGCAAAAGGTTGGAATGCAAAGGCCAATTTCTAGAGCCCTTAGGGCTGCAATGGAAAGGCAGGCCTCAGCTCTCCACCCTGCAGGAAACACTTTCCTGCTCGTCTTCCCAGTCACCTGGCCCCTTTGCTACCTGACCAGAGCTGGCACTGCCGAGCACTTACCCTGGTGCAGATGCCGCTGTTCACACGCATAAAAAGCGTTGGACAGTTACACCCTCAGGAGTAGCTTCACTGTTATCACCCTTATTTGAACACTGACGTGTGAAATATTGAGCCACGATTATCAGAGCTGACGTTAAGCTTAGGATACCTGGAGAAGACTAAGGTTATTCTCAAAAGGGCTCAATAACCTGAGCTCCATGAAAACGACCACCAGGCAGGGGAGACGCTGGGCCACAGGGGACTGTCCCTGGGAGCTGAGCCCAGTGCCCTGCAGCTGAATTGTTGGATGTGGTTACTTTAAAATCTGTTTCAGGCCTTGTAGGTTTCCTCTGAGAGTCTGCATTTTGCTCTGTTTGGGGCACTTCCGGAAGGAAGAGCTGAGAGCTGACCACAACATTTTCTGATCAGAGCCTTGGAAAAGTATCTCCACTGTGTAGAGGGCCTCAGTTCCCTCCTGGAAAAGGAGAGCAGCAAGCTAGGCTGTTGCCAAATCCCTCTCCCGAGTGGTGCTGCTCCAGCTTGGAGTTGTCAGAAGCACCCTAGCCATTAAACCCAGGCCTACAGAGCTTGGCTCCTTGGAGGAGCATGGTCTCCCACCCAGAAGCCACAGATGGGCCATCAGACTTTGGTCAGCTCTCTGTCACCACAGCAAATCCAGTGTCCAGTCCAGGCCCCACCTCCAAAGACATGCATCTCAGAGTGAAGCCCAGGAAGCAGGATTGTTTTATTGCTACTTCTGTTGCTCTGTTTGACTTTGCGGGGGAAGGAGGATCAGGAATCGAACTCTGGACCTTGTGTTTGCCAGGCAAGTTCTGCACTGCTGAGCCAGCTCAACTCTTTTGCAAGGAGGTTTTCAAACTGCTCTGAAATGTCCTCATACTTGAGTCCTGGATTACTTGCTAAAATAGTGCTGGTTCCTATCGCCAAGTTTCTGTTGTGCAGGCTTTGAGTATTTCTAGAAAGTTCTCTGTCAATGTTGCTGGCCCTGAGTCCAGGCTTTGAGGACTTCAGAAGGTTTTGGCCTTCCAAAGTGGTATCTATGATCAGATGAGTAATTTTTCCTTGCCCTGGAGAGAAAGAGTTCATTCAATTCCTAGAGATCCTGAATCCCCCAAAATGAAAGTCAGATTAGAATCTAATCATGCTTTTGTTGTCACCGAATGAGCAGATCCAGTGCAAGTGTACACTCAGTAGCAAGTGGAAGGAACATTTACTGAAGATGACAGGAAGCTGTGACTGGGCAAGATCGTGCCAACAAAAGCTATGGCACAGAGAGAGAAAACAGGCACCAGGGTGACAGAAAAGCAAAAGCACTTTACAAAAGCTTTGTTTCCACTTTGTTGCTGGACAACACACCTGCAAATTAAAGGAAATGAGGTTTCTCTTGGCCCATGCTTTTTGCCTCTTCTCCCCACTTCTCTCCCCTCCTCTCTCTGGTTATTTGTCACAGTGGGAGTACTGGGGACTGAACTGAAGGCCTTCTCTCCATGCTACATCTCCAGCCCTTTTATTTCAAAATGTCTCACTCAATCACCCAGGCTGGGCTTGCATTCATGATCCTCCTGCCTCAGCTTCCCAGAGCACTGGGAACACAGACACATACCACCACACCCAGTGTGGCTTGTTGGTAGAAATGGGCTGGCAGAGGGCCACAGAGGAGGACAAGCTGCTCCCAGGGCAGTGGGCTGGAAGCAGACAGAAGGGAGGGGCGGGGAAAGAGAAGGCTTCCCAGGTCATGCCCTGCGTTTCCACCTAGCCCCACCTCCCAGCACCAAGTGCAGAGCATGCGACGTCACCTTCCACGCCGGACATCTACGGCCATATTCGATGAAACCACGACACAGCCTCCAGAAGTCAGCTGCTGTCCACCTGTTACAGCTGCAAAGCCTGAAAGGTAAGCTGCATCTACCCACAGGCTGGCAGCAAAGAGGGCATTTGCCTACAGTGTTGTTGGAAACATAAACTGGTTCAAATCATATTGGGGGAAAATACTCGATAGAACTCATCAAAATTTAAAATCACACATCATTTGATGCAGTGGCTTCTCTGCTAGGAACCTCTTTCCCAGCTATAGCTACACAAAAGCAGACTTCACTTAACATTATTTGTAGAGGAAAAAACGGAAAACTAGTAATAGGTGACATGCATACAGGGAATGTTATTTGCTATTTAAAATAATGAAATAGGGCCGCAGATATCAGTGGTACAGCACCTGCCTGGTAAGTGTGAGGTCCCGAGTTAGATTCCTGACACCAAAAACATATAAATAAAGTATGTAACTGTATCCCCTGGCATGGAGAGCTTCACAGACCCTGGATATACCTGTTGCTGACCCTGTGCAAAGTTAACATTGCTGTTCCTCAATGTTCTTATCTGTAAAGTGAGTACATTAATATTATTAAAATGACTGTATTTACAGTATAGAATGTTAGACCATATTTATCAAGTGCTTGTGCAGCTCCTAGCTCTTAGTGAACACTCAACAAATATAGAGTCCAGACAGCATGTGTAACTGCTTCTTAGTTTAAACTTATAATTTACAGGGGGAAAAATCTGCCATAGTTCTCTTTAAGTCTGGTATTTAGGAGATACAGAACTTTAACTTTTTTACTTTATACATGTTGGTACTTGGCATTTTCAACAATGAGCACTTACTTCCTTAAAAGTGATGATGAAATATAATTTTTAAAAGATGCCTCAGGGTCAGGGAGAGAGCTCAGCAGCACAAGTGCCTGCCTGGCAAGCTCAAGGTCCCAAGTTCCATCTCTGGTACGGCCAAAAAGAAATAAAATCAAAGAATGGATTTTAGGAAAAACAGAGACTAAGAGCAGAATGTATTTATTGAGCGAAAGAAAGGTTCTGTTCCAGAGAGGGGACCTGAGTGGGGTGCCGAGGACCTTCCTTTTCTAGGAGTTTTATAGAGCAAAACTACGAGGTGAGGTAGGTCTATGGTGGGACACATGGGAACTTGCAAGATGGGTATGAGGTGGGACAGAACTATGGTCCACCACTAAGATGACAAATACAATCTCTCAGGTAAAACTGATTAAATCAGGATCGAATGGGGAAGTGTGTCACTGAGTGGACAGAACAGCGGCTTTTCCTTTAGGGGGTTGGGTTTGAAGGTGACTGATACCTATTTAGAGTACCAGTCCCTCAGGTCCACCCCGTGGGAGCATGGAGGTGCCTTTGTTTCACCTTGTCTTCAGGTCCCTCCCACAGCTGCATGGTGTCTCCTCTTCCACACTGCCTCCCGGAGGGCCCAGCCCCTCTATCTCACTCAGCTGCCTACAACAGTATCTGTCAGGATGTCAGCAGGGTGGTGGGTTTAAAAATATGTTTCTTTTAAAATCTCAGTGGACTACTTCAAATAAAGTAGAAACCAGAATTCTGCGGACATTGAGCATGTTTAAGGCCAGCCATGCGAAAAAGACATTTGCCTACAGAACGTTCTTTCTTTCATTGTCTGCCAGGAGGGTTACATAAACCTCTCTCTTATTCCACCCAATCCCTCAGCCAGAAGAACATACACAGGGCTGGCCAAATAGCTCAGCGGATTGAAGTGCCTGCAAGCAGGCGCAGGGGCTGGGAGTTCAATCCCTGGGCCTGCTATGCCGCCCCGCCCCTGGGGCACACTGAGACTGCAATTGAGACTGGGCGTGGTGGCACACTGCTCCTGTAATCCCAGTTCTTGAGAGGCTGTAAACAAGCGGATCACTAGGAGTCCAATCTAGTGTGAGATCCTGTGAGACCCTGAACATCCTGTAGACCCTTCCCTAAAAAAAAAAAAAAAAAAAAAAAAAAGAAGAAGAAGAACAACATACACAAATAATTAGAGGACGGCGGCTCCTGGTGGAAATTCAATTGCATTTATTTTTCTTATACAGAATCAGAAAACTAAAAACCAGTACCAAACTCTAGGTGAAATGGTTTGATCTGGCTGATTGGATCGCATACCTTCTGTACGCACAACATTCGAAATTAGAAATAAACACGCATATGTCATATTACAAAATATAGAAGTAAATTCTTTAAAAAGTTAAAGTACTAGCACAAGAAATGATGTAGTGTTAGGGAAACGGTCTCTGTCAATCACCCATTTTTCCCAATTCAATGAATTGCAATTTCCTTTTAAAACAGTCTTTTTAAAAAATACAAATTGTACTTTGAGAAGTTACTTTCTACTTACAGGATGAGCACACACGGTTCATGCGCGACCCTCCTGTCAGCCCACCCGCCCTGCCCCGCCCCGCCCCGCCCCGCCCAGCCGTTCGCCCAGGTGGGGCCACCGTGGGGCCACCGCCACTGCACTGCACCTCATGCATCGTCATCAGAGAAAGAAATGGCATTTCACACCCTGGATACTTTGGTGACACAAGGGCTACCAGTCCTTTGATGTAACAGAATTACAGATAGATTTTGTTAACAAGACAATGTATTTCATTAGGAGAAACAAAATCTTCAGTAAAAGATCTCAGAAATCCTTTTTCAACTTCACTTTTTAAAACATGCCTTTCACACAGCAAAGCTGTGGGGTGAGATGGTAAAATGGGCTGACTGATTTAGGACTAAAGACTGGCAGTTGTCTTACAGTAAGATATATAGTATAAATAGCACCTTGTCATGAATTCTGAGGGGTGTAACACTTACAATAATAGGAAACAGTCATTTAAAGATTGCCATGGAGGGCTAGGGGGTGTGGCTCAGCCGGAGAACGCTGGCCTAGTGTGAGTCCTAGGTTGTTCACCTCCCAGCAATGAAAATAACCAAACCAAAACATAAAAAAAAAGCTCTTACTTTAGAGTTCAGGCTTGAATGTTCCTTAACAAAAGCCATATTTTATGGCTTTAAACACAACAAAACATTATATCTCCCTTTATCTATTAGTAAACAAATAGGGTCCATATTTTATTCTGGAAAAATATTTATTATATTCATTAATAAATGTTCTAATTTCACTAAAAATTATTCTAAAATTTTCTAATGCCATGAACTTACTAGAAAATTCTAAAAGTTGGTGATATAAATCATCAATGATTTAACTACTTAAAAGAAGGGTTATCTCTTTCTCTTACATTTAATAACCTGAAAATGCCTCTATAAAAATATTTTTTTAAAATACAGTAACACTGCTGAGTTTTCTTAGGTCCCTTATTTTTTTCTTAGAATGTACAACTCTTTTTGCAATTTTTTCTTATTACAAAAAAAAAAAGAAAGAGTGCTCCCTTTCAATTTAGTAGCAACATAAACATCTCAGAGTGCTTGAGAGAGCAAAAGGAATTATTGGAACATAAAGCACAGTCCGTGAGGAAGAAGAGATCCGAGCGTCGGGGGCTGCAGCAGGTCTCTGCCCCGGGCCGCCCACTGGTTAATACGGACAGGAGACCGCAGCCCGGCCCTTCACTCTTCTCCCAAGTGAAGTGTGCCAAAGCCCTCTTTTCTTCTACAACAGAGTCATCTGGAGTGAAGGTTGTAGTAGAAAATCGTTGCTTTGTCCTTTCAGGGCACCTCTCACACCTCCTGCCTGACTTGCTACTGGGGTTCTATTCCTCTTCTACTTAAAATCCCTTTCCCAACAACTGTCCCTTCCACTACATCCTGTAACTTCACTGCTTCATCCCCGACCCTTTCACTTGCTTTCTGTCCAACAAGACCAAGTGTAGTCTATGCTATAGTCTGATAGCTAGAAAAGGATCATATGATCTTATGTAAGATCACCAACAAATAAAGCCCCCTCTCTCAACGGGGATTGAAAGGTTCCTCTCAAGAGACCTGAATCATTAATTTTTTTAAAAAAAGGTTAAATTCATAGGTTATAAATAATGTCATTCAAAATATTAAACAGTTGAGGACTTCATTGGCAATGCAGGTAGACTGCGTGCCAGGCGAACATGATGTTCTCTCAGTCCTTAAAAGCTAATAAAGTTTTTGGTTATTATATAGGAGGTATTGAATACATAGCTCGGGCCTTTCTATACCCACTGCAGCAAACAGGGTTAGGCTGATATACTTAGGAATCAATTTTACTGCATTCAGAAACATGTCTCCACCATCTCCCCTAAGAGGGCACTTTGGTTACATGTTGGTTAGAGATTTGCTTCATCCTTCAAACAGTTGCATAGGTAGGCTTATTTTAAACACTTGCAATCTTGAAAGCAAAACTGACAAGGCTTCAGAATTTGAAAAGCAACAGCTTACTGTATGTGCCATCAGGTTGAACCCCCCAGGTCTTCAGAAGAGTTTCAAAAGGCCAACACTACAGTTGGCTCTGATTTCTCAAACACAGATGGCTGCCCTTTGCCATCAGCTATAACAGCAGTGTTCTCTAAATAAACACCAAATTCGAAGTTGCACTGTTAACAAATGTATGTTGCAATAAATTTTTTTTTGTTGTTTAATAAATGCTCATGATTAGTACAGACTGGTCTCTTTCACAAGGTCTCCAGGTCGGAACTCTAATGCTGCTGCTACTGTCCTGCTGGAAGACGAAGCCCTCTAGATGCTACTCAGTAACACAATGAAAAGTAAACTATGATAGGACTGTCTGTGCCTTTGTAAATACAGAGCAGGAAGAGCGATCACAGCCAGCATGGATTCAAAATACATTGTATTCCATACAGCAGAATTTTACTATCCATACAATGATTTTTAAAGCTCACGGTAAATAGGTTTTAAAGCATTTGGTACTACTGTCATTAGCACAGTTTTTTAACTGTAAATCAGGTCTAATTTTGTGTACATTTCCTGGACCAAGATGCCCGCTTGAATTTACTACCTGTGGTCAGCTTGTTATGGTTTACAATAAATGGATGCATAAATGTCAACTAATGTCCATAAAGCATAGCAAGGGGCAGCCGAGGGAAAAGAGTAATTCTGCAGACACAATTCTGCAGACACACTTCTGCATCATCTGTCACAGGAATGCGGGGCTGCAGAAAATGAAAAGAGAGCATTTATATGTAACTTTTAAGTTCCTGTCCATCAAAGCCAGGCAATGACTAAACCGGCCCCGTGGAAAGGAGGGAGCGAGAATCCCGGGGCAGGAAGCAGCGCCTGCAGACCTCCTCCGCTCCACCACCTTCCCCCAGGCCCAGGGAACGTCAGGTCACGGCTGCTTCCCACTCACAACAGCAGCGACTACAGCCAGGTCTGAAAGGACTCGCTTTTGCTCAGAGCAGACTCTACATCATTGAAGAGGGGGATCAGATCTTCAGATTCCAAAGTTCCTAGGTCAACGTTTGTTCCCGGAAGACAGTCAAGGAAATCAGGGAAGCGGGTCTGCTGGTGGTTGATGTTTATAGGCGTCTGACCTGCATTTTCTCCTAGAGCAGAATGAGAGAAAACCATTTAAACTCTTTCTTGTAAGTCTTTCCCAGAGGGACAGTTCAAACGTTACTATAATAACACCTTCATGTCTTCACACCTCACATTGATGATCCTCGCTTGTAAGAGGTGCTGAGACGCTGGAGGAATGTAAAACAGTTTGTGGAAGACAGGACCCAGAATATAAAAGTGCAGAGAATAACAAAGGAGCACGCAAAATGCGAAGGCCAGACCACACGCCCATACTTCCCCATCATGGAAGCTTGAGGAGCTCTTCTGACAGGAGAGAGCACTCACCTATATTGAGCACCTTGCAGAACTCTGCTCTGGGAGTTCAACTGTTAAGTTTCCCCTTTACCACATCATTCTTCAGATGCATAGAGAGTAGTGTGAAGTTTCTTTTAACCATGGTATTTTCACTGATGGCTTTAAACTTTGTTTAAACAGCAGGCTTATAAGGTGTAGTGGTACACACATGCAATTCCAGCACTTGGGAGGCTGAGGCAAAAGGATTGAGTTCAAGGCCAGCCTGAGCTACATAGTGAGTTCAAGGCCAGCCCGAACTGCACAGCAAGACCTTGTCTAAAAACCAACCAACAAAACAACAAAACCAGTGGGGTTTGCAAGCCTCCTTCCTGCCTCCTCAGGCCTTCCTGCTGTCTCCTCAGGCCTCCCTCCTGCCTCCTCAGGCCTTTTGTCTGCCTCCCCAGGCCTCCCTCCTGCCTCTCCAGGCCTCCCTGCTGCCTCCCCAGGCCTCCCTCCTGCCTCCCCAGGCCTCCCTCCTGCCTCCCCAGGCCTTCCTTCTGCCTCCCCAGGCCCCTCTCCTGCCTCTCCAGGCCTCCCTCCTGCCTCCTCAGGCCTCCATGCTGCCTCCCCAGGCCTCCCTCCTGCCTCCTCAGGCCTCCCTCCTGCCTCCTCAGGCCTCCCTCCTGCCTCCTCAGGCCTCCCTCCTGCCTCCCCAGGCCCTTCTCCTGCCTCTCCAGGCCTTTCTTCTGCTTCCCCAGGCCTCCATGCTGCCTCCCCAGCAATTCACTTTTCTCACGGCCCCCAGGCACAATGCACGTGAGCAGGTTGTATACTGTATTATACATATACAGTCCTGAGCCTTGCAGTAAAGAAACTCATTGTGTTGTGTCCAAGCCACTATTTCCTAAACTCATGTAATTATCTAATCCTATTTGGGCAGAAAGTATATCCTAGTAAAATCAGTGTTTTGGAGTGCTCAGTTGAGAAAATGCCAGAAAGCTAAGGGTCTGCTGGGCCCAGCACTCGGGAAAATGAGGCAGGGAGATACTCGTGGGTTCGAGACTAACCTGGGCTACAAAAGGCCAGCCTGAACTGCATAAAGCAAGACCCAGCCTCCAAAAGACCAAAAAAGAGAAAGAAAAAAGTTAAGAGTCTGGAATTTCGGGGGG